AATCCGTTGAAATCGGCAGTGGCTTCAATGGCGCACTGCTAGAAGGTGCAGGCTTCATGCGCTGACACTCTTCACAAGAGCGAATGTTGTTGGCCACCCGCCAATATAGCTGGGGCCACCAAAATTCCTCTGAAACTCGTAAGAATGTCTTTTCACGGCCCAGATGCCCACTAGATGGCGCATCATGGCACTCGTGAAGTATATCAGCTTGAGATCTGTGTCATGAGGGACATAGATTCTCAAGGGATCACAGGGTGACAGTTGATGCCATAACAGGCCATCACTGTAGCTAAAGCAATTTAGTTTCGCTTTCAGGTGCGACGGAAGGGTAACCTTTCGTCCACCAAAATGATCAAACAGCAGGCGACAATGTTCGTTCTGACTGTAACACTCCTTGATATCGGAGTCCATTGAGCTCGTCACATGGTAGTCCTTCATGGCTGTCAATGTTGACGACTCAACTTGTGCTTTAGCACGAGACACACTATCCTGGGGTCTTGCCTCGAAGTCTGGTCTGCGCGATAACGCTTCAGCCAAGACATTCGACTTATCCGTCTTATATTCAACTTTGGAATTAAATTCAGAGAAGAATGTTAGCCATCTCGCCATTCTCGGAGAGAGGTGCGGTGAATTTATAGCGGTCCGCAGTGATGCGTGATCCGTATAAACCACAAAAGGTTCGTTGCCCAAGAGGTGCACCCGAAACTTTACAAGGGCATACTTAGTTGAAAGTAGCTCCTTGTCATTCACAGGGTAATTCAGGTCTGCGGCTTTTCAAAAGCCGAGACTGATACGAAATGACACGGTCAATGCCGTTGTCATCCTTTTGCATGAGCGCGCCACCGATTGCAAAATTGCTTGCATCGCAGACGACGCTAAAGGGCTTATCCGCGTCTGGCAATGCCAAGACCGGTGCCTCTACAAGAGATTGCTTCACTGAAGTTAACGCATCTTCTTGCTTCTTTGACCAAGTCCATTTTGTATCCTTTTTCAAAAGGTCAGACAATGGCTTAGTCTGCTCCGCATAATTCTTGATGTACTTATGCAAGTAATTAGCGATTCCAAGAAATTGGCGCATATTCTTCACGTGTCGTGGGACTGTCCATTCCTTTACAGCCTTTACCTTTTCTGGGTCTTCTCGTACACCATGTTTACCTACGATGCAGCCCAGCACAGGTATCTCAGGGACCCCTATTTCGCACTTTTGCAAGGTAACGTATAATTGGGCGTCACCCAGAGTCTGCAACACAGCGTCTAAATGGCGCTTGTGCGACTCTATTGTGCTCAGACCGCCCTCCGCCCTACTATGCACGAACAAATCGTCAAAGTAATAGGGCGCGTAGGCACGGTGCTGAATCATCACGTGAGCCACCACTCGGTTGAATGTTGCTGGAGCATTTTTCAACCCGTGTGGCATCCCAAGCCACTCCCACAGCATACCGCTTGGGGTGCTTACTGACGTTTTGGCTACATCGGTATCTCTTATGAGAACCTGATAGTAGCCATCCTTCAGATCCAAAGCGGAAAAGATAGTTGACTTTCCCATGGAATTTAACAAAGCATCTTTCCGCGGGATCGGCGTTTGAGCCGGAATGGTGGCCGTGTTCAGCTTATTATAAGCATGAACCACGCGCCATCCACCTGTTTCTTTACGCACACAGAAGGTAGGGCTGCAGTGAGGCGACTTGCTATCACGTACATGTCCCGCCTTAGCTCGCTTGTCGAAGAACTCATCGATGTAATCGACTTGTTCCTTCGGCAACAGACATTGCCTGGTCACAAAATACTTGGTGCCAGGCTCCAGGTCAATCTCGTGCCTGATGCCCCTATCGGCCGGTAGGCGGCTCGGCACTTCTGCTGGAAACACATCACGGTGTTTCCACAGAACATCATAGAACGGGCTGTCCTTTAAGGCATCCCAGCCTTGAGCAGCGAAACGTTTCTTTTTGTCGGTCTCCAAGACGCTCTCATCCATTGTGGATGAAGCGCAACAGTCCACCACGTTCTCTTCTTGAACTGGTGCGACTATCTCGTGGATCTTTCCTTCCTTTAGTTCGGAGAGGAACAGATCCCACGTCATCTCCGAGAGATTTACTATCTCCTCGGCAGATGCCAAGACAAGTTGGAGCACCTCAACTGAGGATGCCTCCGGCATTTTGTCTTCGACGGCCTCAAACAACTCGTTCGTAGGTCCGTCCTCTTGGACCGAGACTGATCCAAGGGTCACTCGTTTCGACGTGCCCTTGATCGTCTTAATACGTCTGGTGCTCGTTCTTCGAGTCACCACGACCTTTGACCTGGAAGAAGGTTTCGTTGATATCTCAGCTAACGCACTCCTTCCAACCGCACCAGGCTCTTGGCTCTGTGCCGGTTCTTGTGGCGCTTGACTTCCTGTCAGCCCACCATCAACTGCCACAGGCTCTTGGCTCTGTGCAGGACCATCGGACGCATGACTACCTGTCATCGCCCCATTCACTACACCAGTCTTTTCGACCTGGGTAGGAATATGTGTCACCTGGCTTTCCGCCAGTGCACTTCCAACTACACCACTCCTTTCGAGCTGGGTAGTTCCTGGTGTCGATTGACATACCGTCATCGCAACCTCGACTGTGTTGGACACAGCATCAGCCACATAAGCTTCTCGCAAGAGCACATCCTTTCCGGTGTCTTGCGTAGAGCTAGCGACTGTGCGTGTACGCTAGTTAATCCATGGTTGGTGTTTAGCCAACCAAGGCATGCCTAGGATAAGGTCATACGGACTCTCCATACCTAGCAATGTGAACTTCTCTTTACATGAGAAGTCACTAAAGCTGAAAGCGAGTTCAACTTGAACTTCCTCCAATTTAACGAGCGCGCCGTTCGCTAAACGAACGATCGCCTCTTCTCGCTTGCCATCCTGGCAAAGCGACTCATAACTTGCCGGTCTCTTTTTCAGAGCCGTGAGTTTTACAAATTTTTGTGATGCACCAGAATCCACGAAAAGGGTCATCACTTGGTCATAGCCTCGTACTCGAACGCTATAAACCAAAAGAGTTGAGGTCCGACCTTTCGGAACCTCAGAGACTATGCTACCTATTTGTTCGATCACTTTGAACTTAGGGGTAGCTTCAGAGTCCGCGACAGTAGGGTATCCCGCCCCTACTGCGCTCCCGCATTTCCCGACCCATCTTGGGCAGGTGCTGAACCCGTGCGTCGTGCACGCTGATTTTTCGCACCTCCCTTCGGGTTGGGCGACCTTTTGCTGGCTGCCTTAGCACCAGCAGCTACTTTGGCATAGCAGCGAGCCATCATATGGCCTCGCTTGCCGCACTTGTAGCAGATCACATCTGCATTGTCTAACTCCATAGGAGTGGCATCAAACTTCTCGGACGACGGCCTGTAATAGGCTGTCGCCGAGGCGCTGTTGTAGGATTGCTCCTCAACTAAGGCAATGTCAATTGCCTCTTCCATCGTCGCTGGCACCTTTCTGAAAAGGGCCTGACGCGATGGGCCGTGCCGTAGACCTTTCATGAACGTAGGCACCTTAATGCTTTCCGGTATCGGACCCATATGAATGGACGCCGACAACGAACGCATCTCCTGCACATACTCTTCCAAAGATCGCTTCGCCTGTCGTGTTCCAAAGAAGTGCGCCTGGAGTAACACTTCATTGTTAGGCGGCTGAGACATGGCGCGAATCTTTGATTTAAAATCGTTTATGATGGAAACGCATCGGCATTGACATAAGCGCAGAGTAAGCCCACTCGGACGCTTTGCCACGCAAGTTGGACATGGCATACGACACCATCCTGGCGCCGTATTCGATGAGCTGCGCCATAACCGCATTGCTCCACGGCTAAAAGACAGTGGACAATCATATGTGGGGCAGTCCCATCAAACTTCGGAGGGTCCATCCGAATGGGCCTTGGCTGATTAGGCCGGGCAGAGAGCGTCTCAACAGCTCTGTTGAGCGCCTCATTACGTGCCTGCTCAAGCCGAAGCTCATCCTGAGTCTTAGTGATGGACTCAGCGGTGGCTTGGCTGTTTTCCTCGGACGCTTTTCTACGCTGTCCGAGCACAAAAGCCTCTAATTGCTCCAACTGAGCAACATGTTGCTCAGGAGGAAAATGTAAGAGGTTGGCCAAAGCTTGTTTACCAAGTCCTTACACAAAGTGCTCTGCCACATCCCTATGATGTTGGGAGAGATGAGGAAAATTACCCCAGTTTACGTTGAAAGATATCCGTACTCACAACACACAGAAGCTTTTTTAGCTTCTCGTGCGCAGTGGTCAATGTTTAGTAATTTCAAGACTGACTTATATTTAATAGATTTAAAAGAAATAGAAGCTTACTACTGATTAGTTAATATGTAAAGATCGGATACACGTCTCTTTTAGAAACGTATACCTACGTACGAGCTAAAATATATTTAAACTCGCTGATGAGGTCCGTCTACGACATCACCATATAGCCTAGTCCCAACTGGGCGTCATACCCGTTGAATGCGAAGTCATCCATGGATATTACATCACGAGGTAGGTCACATTGATGTGCCTCACCCAAGTGGCAGGTCGGTACCACCGTACCCTTCTAGACCTCCCCGTTAAGTATCATGTACTGAACGGACTCGTGTAAATTAGCCCATTACACACTCTTAAACGTCTTTAAGTACTACTATACAATCTCTCGATTATTGTCAAGGGATTTGCTAGCACATATATTATCAAATTATATAATTTTGTAATGGTGCCGGGATCAAAACAGAAAGCAGTTGATACCTATGCACTATAAAACGTCGACAAGGCATTTCTATTACAAACGCAATTAATTTAAAAAAAACGTAAATGTTTTTAAGAGTCAACTGAATATCTGTTACGCCTAATGTTGACTACACCTTTTAAGTCCTCCCTTCGATTTAAAAGAAAGTAGTCACTTGGTTCCGTAGCCTTAGTTAAATTGGGCTTTTAAAGGTTTGTCTGTTATCAAAAGAGCAAATTCAATTGAATTCGGCAACACATCGTTCAAGGCGAACTTCTCTGTCGTTTCGCCGGTGGCTTGTTTGAATCGAAATCGTTCTGCCGTTTCAAAGCTTCCGGCGATCTTTTAATCAAGGCTTTTTGCAGCTTTTGAGTGAAGAAGTCCAATTTCTTGATCTCTTTCTTTGTTCCCTTGTTGACATCAAGTTTAAACGTGGAAAGCATCGTCTCAGTTGCTTTCAGATCATTCAAGGATGTTGACCTGACGAAGCCGACCCACGCGGAAAAGGCTGGGCTATTGAATAGGTCTCTATCTGTCCTGCTGAGCTCCAATATGTTGAAAACGTCATCCGCATTCTTCTTCTCTTCTACCCACTTCTTGTACTGATTCTCAAGTAGTGCATGAGCAATTTCTTTCGTATCAAAGCTTTTTGCGCCATCTAGCGCACCCACTAGAGCATTTTTGCTCTTAAAATAAGATGATAGTCGGTAAAGCATCACATTATATGCCTCTTCCGGGGTATTCGATATTTTTTGGACAAAGTTGACCCACTGGGAAAAAGTTGGGCTGTCAAAAGGATTGCCATTTGCCTTGTGAAGCTGCAAGAGGTCAAAAACCTTTTCGTCAGATATTTTCTCACGGGCCCATAATTCGACCTGAAAGTCGAGCAGACTTTTCGCGAGGTCTTTCCACTCAATCATATTTGCTCCCGCAACCAGAACTCTGGTTAACTCATCGCCCTCAAATTGTTTTGCGAAGACGTTAAACATCATCTTATGTTTTTCGTAGCGACTCTGGGGTAAATTGGCCACAGCCGCGGGGTATTTGGCCTTTACGAAATTGACCCACTGGAAAAAAATTGGGCTATCGAAAGGATTGCGACTTTGCTGTTTAAGCTTCAAAAGGTCGAATACTGCTGCCTCATTTTCACCGTCCTTTACCCACTTCTCGACCTGCAAATCTAGCAGTTTCATAACGACGTCTTTCTTTGGATGATTCTTTCCCAAAACTAAAGCACTGGTGAGTTTAGCATGTTCTTTCACAAAATGATGTGCCAATAGCTCGAACATTACCTTATTTACCGCTTCCGAATCCACAAACAGTCTATTTAAAAATCTCATCCAAACGTCTAAGTCGTTGCCCATAAAGAAGTTAGAGCTGGCGACTAGAGTGTAAAAGCTTTTCTTGGTTTTCTCAATCAACGAAAGCCTTTTAACATTCGTGTATGGGCCCAAATTTGTAAACTTGTCTGGCTGAAAGGTTTTCAGTATCCTGTTAATATACTCCGGCATTTCTGCTCTCTCTTCGGACTTTTCGTTAGAGTAATTCGATACTAGACTCGCGTTTTAGCCCGAGGATAGGGTGTAAGTAGTATTCGATGTAGTATAGTCGTAGGTGCTGCGCATGACAGGCATTCCGGAAGCCATGCTAATAGCCAACCATGGAGTCAGCGCGAGAACAATCAACATCATCGCGTTAGATAACAGGACTGCGGCGGAGGACGTAAACAGCGCGAGGGTCTGGCAGGCAAGATACAAACTAAGACCTCAAATGGCTGTCAGACACTTGATTATGGTGGGCGATACAAATAAACTTCGTCTGTCTTTCCCTTATTGCGAAGTTCGATTTTTTCAGGTTGTGGGATCGCAAATCTGAGGGCATTCATGGTACATGAATTTGATTCTTATATCTAATTTATGAATTATGAATCTACATTACGCATTAGTTTTGATTCAGTATTTGTGATTCATGAGTCAAATAATTTATTGATTAAAGCCTATCAATCACCCTTTCAGACTCCCAACTAAAACAAATGAGGATGCAGGGCTCGTTACGAGCCATATAAAAAGGTTATTTAACCTAAAGGAAGCCCAGTTTCCTGCAAATATCTTTAAGGCACACTAATGTCTAAATTGCGGATAATAAGCTTCTTGTTGCAATCTTTTTTTATGCCTAGCTATGCTATAAATACTTATCACAACACTACTGTCCCACCTTACGACATGTCTTCCAAAGATGTTACAAATTTGAGAAAGGGCATTGATGGCAGGAATGACCAAGATGATCCTGGCATTATTGTGTGAGTGATATCAGGAACAAGTTCGCCCATCTCAATTAGTTGTTTTTATAAATTTAAATTTAGTTGACTGATAGTATACTAATTCATGAATCATGACATTAAATCATGAATCTGAATTATGAATTTATATCATGAATCAGCCCTGAGAAAAAACGAATTTTAAACATGAATCAGGCGTAATTCATATAAAATATGAATTGGGGTGTAGGCTCAAGTGACCAAGCACATCCCAAATCGTATCATTACCGCCAGCCCGTCTAAAAAAAGATTTAAACCATGTGTATACATCAATCTGAGATAGCAACGCCGTCCACAGACGTTTACACACAGAAACGCGGCGCTTTAAAGCTGTTGATATCGTCTCTTTAGCTGCATCTGCGCGTGTTATTTATACCCGAAGTGAGACAAGTGGCTTGCAATCGGAGCTGGCACATCCTATGGTCTCAGCCCAGCGACATGTAAGATGTTCAGCGACAAGACAAGTGTAGAGCAGATGCAAAAATCGTGTAAGTACATTAAAGGTGCTGCAAACACAGCGCTAAAATTGCACAGGTCTTGTACTTTGTTTACTAACTATTTTGAATGCATTAAATGTAGAATTTGGTAAAGTTATTGCACTTGTATCAAAGTAGGTAGAAGTAAAAGTAATATATATTTGGTGTTTACTTCTCCTACGTGCCGATCTCGTCGCCTCGTCCCATCTGACAAGTTGTCACACCATTAGTTTATCAGGTGAGGTCGCATCTTACTTGTGACAGGTGTTGCACTGTATCCTTAAGACCTTGTCGACCTGTCAAAAACAATAGTTTCTAACATTAAAGTTGACGCTGGCATGCCAAAGTGAGCGCTAACAGAAGAACACACATATGAACGGCGTCCTTCGATCACTCATTGCGCGACCGATGTCTGAGCTGTGTCTCAGAAACAAGTACGTGGCGACGTTAGCGTCAACTTTATGTACGCAATTGAGTCGCTGATCGCACGCTGCGGCACGTACGAGGGAACGGCCACTGTCTTTATTAAAGCTCGCTCTTGTCGTCATCGGGAGATACCTAGGACAATAACGTGATGCTGCTAGTAAGGGATTAATCTGCTTCTAAGTACAGCATTTGTATACCAACTACATACCAAGTACAACATTTGCATACTAATACAGAGATGAAATGATTGACATGATGTTGGGTAGAGCATCTACACACGGGTTTTTGTAATCACAAAGAGGCAGCTCTTGCGCTCGTAAACAGCACTATCCCGTGCACAGTATTGACAGGCGCCAGCCTCCTCGGCGTCGCACGTTTGAAGCCCCTGCCTCCGTCTTAACTTCGTCGCGTTTAAAGATTTAGCCTCGACGTTAGAGAGAGAGACAGACGAGTCTATTTAACCTCTTAGGGATTGCAGGATGTCTGGTAGTTTCTAAGCCTGGTTAGCAACGACGGTACTCGATCGAATCCGGTGATTGTATTGAGCTTGGGATTGTCCGGCTATGCTGATGCAACATAGCTGCAGACGTGTACCGTTGTTCATGTATGTCCTTATAGACCGCTTGAGCGGCCCGTTTGTCTATTGTGTGTGGTTGCCGGAGCGACGACGCGTGTCGTGAGGTGTAATTATATGACCTTAGGGTAAGAACCAATACGCCTGTAAAGTCACCATGGAGTACGCGGCCCAAGTTATATTCGGCTAATGAAAGACCTGTTTGGAGCAAACCTAGATTATAATGTTAAGAACACGGCCATTGCCGGTGCAGAATGTGTACTAAGATCCCCTACATATTTTGTAACAGGGCATCTAGTTACACGTAAACATGAACTGTATAAACATACTTAATGTGTAACGGGAGAGCCCGTTACATAATATCGACACTTATATGAAGTGTCAATAAAAATATTATTATAACTAATAATATTTGACAATATTACCTTTTCTTATAATATTGTTCCTAGGTCTCCTTGAAGTTAGAGATGCCCTCTCATTGGTTGATATGGGCCATCATATCAACCAACGCGCTAACCAATGACCGATGAACGCGCGCAATGAGTGGAGGGCAAGTTGTCAACATACATAGTTGTAGTTTAATATAGTTAACATAGGTTATAACAGATTAGTTTGATTAGACAATTAACTATATAAAAATACAATTTTCTTTTCCCTTTCAACTAAGCGTTTGTTTAGTTGATAAGCTTCCTCTGCTCACGTGTACGTGATGTTTTGAGGCACCTGCTTTCACTGTCATCAGTAAAGGTAGACTATACTGGCATCAGTATAGTCGGAGGGTGCCCCATTACATAATGTAAGGTCTAAAAGTATCCATGATTTTTTTTGACCTGTCACTTGGGTGCGATACACAAATGTGATCCACCCTTGTGAATGTGATATCCATTGATGAATTCACTTGGGAAGGGACGACGCTAGTTGAAGATAAGCATCGCGACGTCCCAGAAGGACGTCATTTTTATTATCAAACTTCTGAACAAGAAGTCACCGACGTCACGCAGAAGCTTTTCAGCTTCTCGTGCGTGGTGCTTTGCGTTTAGGAAATTCAAGACTGAGTTATATTTAATGAATTATAATTACATATAAAAATTAACTACTGATTGACTAATTATATAAAGATCGGATACGCGACTCTTTAGAAGCGTATCCTGTCGCATGAACTTAAATGTAGTTGCGCTCTCGCTTAAGCGAGAGGAAACTGGTGGTACGACTGCTTAAGCAATCGACCAACCACACATCCACCATTGCACGCAAAGGTAAGACGGTCTAACCGCTTCCTCGCTTGTGCTGAAGGTGTGCGCTAAGTAGTACGATGCAACTTTGTAGAGGTGCCCGTCTACAAAGTCGGTATAACCGCATCCTTACGCTGCTCGAAGGTGTTTGCTAGAAGCACGTGGCAGCTTATTTGAAGTGCCCGTATAAACTCGTTCTGACGTTGAAGCGCCGCTAATGGGCCATATATCCTTTAGGGATATGTCTCGCTAGTTGTAATGCAGACAGTTACTTAACATTGTAAATCATAAACAAAGTTTAATGTCTTGGCACTTGATTCTGCAGTTCCTTAAACTGCAGCAAACAGCAAACATCATTTGCATTGCAGTGTCATGCAGCAAGCGAAAAAAAGACATGCTTAAGTAAGTTGAATTCAAGTTACGAAGTGCATAATTCCTTCTAACAAAAGTAATTCGCGACATGGGCAATGTAACGGAGTTACAAGACGGTTGAAACATCATTCCGAAAGTTTACGGTTGAAATTTCCTTTTATTGCATATAATGTATTCTTGATACTTCCCTTTAGAGAGGTATTAAGTATAAGCGTTAAGATACGGTATCCGTTAATACCGTATCTTATCGATTAGGATTCGATAATCGATATCGCTGTACTAAGTACACCATGCACAGATGTTTGGACATCACATCGTCCAATAGCGAAGTCTGCATATTATAATTACTATTATAGTAATTAATCTAGTGTAGGGTACTTCGAGTAGGACTATTCACAAAATCTTAATGCATAAATAAAATCAGTTCTCATTTTGAGTTAAAGAGAACAAGTCTCTCTGACTTTTTCTCTTGTGCACTTCGTGCGTTCGTTCTCTGAACCTTTAAGCTCCTAGATTGTTCTTGCACTATGTGCGTTGGTTCTTTGAACCTGAAGCTTATTGCTTGCCGACTAAAAGTCCCTCCTAGTTCCTTAGAAGAGGGCGGCTTCTTAGTCGTTTAATTAGTTCCTTAGAACTAAGTGGATTCAAGCCGTAAATTAATTATTCTATAGAACTAACAGGCTTTCAGTCTAAAAGTATTCCTCTGGCTAAAGAGGTATGTAGCTCCTCTACACTTGGTGTAACTTGTAGTCAATCCTACACCTGAGTCTTTAAAGACTGACCCTCTGTGAGGATGGAGAGTCAAAAAAATTTTCTCTGAGGCGCAACGACTCGCACTATATAGATATCTGGACCCGATCAAATCGAGGCCCTTTTGGCCTAAGGCTCGGAGGTTTTAAATGCTCGCCTTGAGGCCTTTATGCGTTATGAGGCAACGCTACTCGGGCAGGTCCATGACCAGGCAGCGTCAGCTGCGCCTACACAGTATATCCCGGTATCTGTTCCCGATGCATAGTCAAAGGCTCGCCCACTCGTTTTAAACGCTAAAACCTTTGAGAGGAAGGAGGTAGATAATCTTCTCCTCTGGATCCGAGAAGTTGAAATGGCAATGGATGCCGCCATGCTTGTGTCAGATAAGCAACGAGTTGGCTTGGCCATTTTTAAGCTCTGTGGAAGAGCTAGAGAGTGGGCTCTAACGAGCGATGTATCTGTAAATGCTGCATTCCCCACATGGGAAATGCTTAAAAAGCAATGAACTTGCGTTTTTGCACCGACTAATCAGGCTTATCGTGTG